AAAAAAAAAAAAAAAAAAAAAAATCAAATTGCATGAACAATTACACATTTCTATCAATAATACCCAAATTATTGGAGATACCATTATAAATAATCCTTTCTAACCTGCAATACAAAAACCACACAAGAAATTTAACTAACTCCCAAAATGTTTACCATGGAAATCCTCTGCCTCTACCTATTCCCTTTCATCCTCTTAGCCCTCTACACCATAGCCCAACATCTCCTCAATCAGCCCAAAAACCTCCCACCGAGCCCGGGCCCAGCCCTCCCCTTTGTGGGTCACGCCTATTTGCTCCGGCGGCCCTTCCACCGGAGCCTCTCCAAACTCGCTAGGCACCACGGCCCGGCCCTCTTCCTCCGCCTCGGAGCCCGTCCCGTTCTCCTCATCTCTTCCCCGTCTCTAGCCGAAGAATGCCTAACCAAGAAAAACGACGTGATTTTCGCCAACCGGCCCGATTTCCTAAACGGGAAGTATTTCGGGTACAACTACACGAGCCTCTCTTGGTCGTCGTATGGCGAGCATTGGAGGAACTTGAGGAGAATCTCGTCACTCGAGCTACTTTCTTCGCATAGGGTTAATGGGCTAGCCCATATTCGGGCCCACGAGACTTTAAGCCTCGTCCAGAAGCTCTTCCACATCACTAGGAACGAGCCTGGACGAGTCTTGGAGGTCAAGTCGACCCTTTTCGAGTTCATGTTCAATGTCATGACTAGGATGATCACGGGCAAAAGGTATCTAAGATAGTTAATTTGTTGTACTTTTTATCGGTAAATTAAATTTATAGGTCAAAACTGAGTTGCAGGTTGGTATATAGTAAATACACAATTTATACACAATAACTAAAAAAAGAAACCGTTTGTGTTCGACTAGGTATTATGGGAAGGACGTGGAGAACTCGAAAGAGGCCAAGTTGTTTGAGGAGATAGCAAGGGACACGTCGAGGATGGCTTTCGAGACAAATTTGGTCGATTTTTTGCCGTTTATGAAGTGGTTCGGCTTCAATGATGTGGTAAGCAAGATGATTACGATACAAGAAAAGAGGGACCGATTCATGCAGAAAGTTATAGACGACAACCGAAAAACATCGCTGGAAAACGATCGTTCGCCGGATGTCGGAAGGAAGAAAACGGTGGTCGAGGTTTTGCTCGACTTACAAACATCAGAACCGGAATACTACACCGATGAAACCATCAAAAGTCTCCTCTTGGTAAGAATTTTATCTCTTCTTTTAGACTGTATAACGGTTAGACAATCGTACTGTCCCAATTAAATATACATATATATTTTCGTAGTATAAATATAAACTTTTATAATAAAAATGTGGTTAGCTGATAATTAAACAACCTAACAACAACATTTGTGTGAAAGATTAGTGCTTTATTGTGAGTTGATTATGACCAAAAGAGTTTGGCTGTTTAAGTTAATTAGGCTTTTTCAGCAGTTCATTTCATTGTGATTGCAATATTTGATGAGTACAATTATTTGTTGGTAGTTGCTATTCATTATTAAGATAAGGATGCATCTAAATTATTTGGCTTGCATTATTGACATAACACTTCTCCATTTTTAGAAACTTGGCTGATTGATTACGTCTATTTATTGACACTACACAGACACGGCTTTAATGTGAAGCCAGATTGTCGCTATCCAATTTGACATGCATCACCATCTTCTTGCATCATTTTTTGTTAGTGCTTTTAAATTTAATTATAATCTATCTAGAAAGGCCTAAGAAAACTACACTTGAAAAACAAATTTGAGAATTAATTTAATTGTGTGTTTGGCGAACAATATAATTTTTTTTTTTTTTTTTTTT